AATGGTTGGAGACCACTGATGTCCTGAAGCCACCCTTGGGTGTGTTGGCCAACCACTGGAAGATGTTGGTGGCCTGAAGCCACCCTTGGGTGTGTTGGCCAACCACTGGAAGACGTTGGTGGCCTGAAGCCACCTTTGGGTGTGTTGGCCAACCACCATCTCCTCCCCAGGTTACACCCAACAACTCGCCTTCCGGAAGCCCGACAGCTCCTACGCGGCCTTCAACAACCTCCCATCCAGCACCTGGTGAGGGACACGTTGTCACCACCACGTGGGTCCAGGTGAGAGGGCTGGACGTGACCCGAAGGTCCTCCTGTCCCCAGGCTCACAGCCTACGTGGCCAAAGTCTTCGCCATGGCCATCAAGCTGGTTGACATCGAGCCCGAGGTGATTTGTGGGGCCGTGAAGTGGCTCATCCTGGAGAAGCAGAAGCCAGATGGGATCTTCCAAGAAGATGCTCCTGTGATCCATAAGGAGATGGTGGTATGGAGTGACCCAGACCACGTCCCTGCTGCCACCCAAGGCCCCACTGGCTCCGTTGGGTGACAGGGACCAGCGCTGGGCATGAAAACCACCATCCCGAGGTCGGGTCCTTCTGCTTTGCCCATCAGGGTGGCTACCATGGTGCAGAGCCCGAGGTGTCCCTCACAGCCTTCGTCCTCGTGGCCCTGCAGGAGGCCCGGGAGGTCTGCAAGGACCACATCAATGTGAGTGTCTTGGTCCTCAACCCCCACCACGGGGAGGGAAACAACCGGTGCCTGCCGCGCGGAAGGGCAAGACGAGGTGCCCAACCTCGAGAGCATCCACCCGAGAACCCAAACTGACCCACTTCTCCTCCCAGAGCTTGGATGGGAGCATCAACAAAGCTGCTGACTACCTGGCCAGGAGGTACCAGTCCCTGGGCAGACCCTACACAGTGGCTTTGTCCTCCTACGCTCTGGCCTTGACCGGCAAACTCAAGAGCGAGAAAGTCCTGATGAAGTTTTCCAAAGGTGACAACTCAACGTGGGGAGGGGGGAAGACACACAAACCTGGGCCGGAAGGGGATGGTGCTGGGAGGACCCTGGCTGGTGCTGAGGGGTGGGTGTTCCCCCCTCAGGGGGCAGGAGCTGGGAGGAACGCAACGCCCTGACCTACAACATCGAGGGCACGTCCTACGCGCTCCTGGCGCTGCTGCAGATGGAGAAGACGGAGCTGACGGGGCCCGTGGCCCGTTGGCTGGCCCAGCAGAACTACTTCGGTGGGGGCTACGGATCCACTCAGGTGGGCTACCGACCCTGCCCAGCACCCACGGGTGCTGTGCTGGCACCTGGGTGTGAGGCAGCGCAAGG